CGAAATAAAATTTTTAAAGGAAAACAATTATATAAAATATAATTTTATGATAAAAATTATTATGGTGTAGCAAACAATTAGTGAAAATAGAAAATTGGTATTATCACTTACCATTTCAAGACTAGCATTTTTTATGAATCAAATTTTTAACTAAGTGCATACACAAAAAACAAAATTTTGATAATGATATATTCTCATTTAAAAGTATTCTTATAGAAAAGGATCAAATATGTTTATAATTGATCCTTTATTTATAAAATTGATATTTTAATCTTTAAGAAGCAGAGATGTGATATTGTTTAAGAGACATTTCTGACACGTAAAATATATTATAGAAAGTAAGAAGTTAATACTGTTGTATGAAGTCCTTCGGTACAATTAAGAGAAGTTAACTTTATTCCATTTATTTAAATAGTGATGTAAAATAACAAATACTTCTTAAGTGTTTAAACCATACAGAGTATTACTTAGCAGGATTATTTAATTTGACTTTTGTACTTTATCTTTTTAATTTGACCTATTATTTTAATCAAAGAAGGTTTGCACTCTTACCATATTTAAGATGTAACTTAAGATTTATAAATTTATATTAGGTGATAATTCACTATATTGATGCATGAAAACAAAAAAGACGGCTGAAGTATGGCGTGATTCTCTTTTCTTCATTTTCGCAATCATACAAAGAAATTTTAAAAAAATTGATATTCTTAGAGATGAAGCGGTATAACATGGACTTTCACAAAAAATATTTCTATAAGGAAAATTAAGATTTGGAGGTCGAGAAACGCGTTAAGATCTGTGACAATTAAAATTTAGATGCAAGAATAATCAGTATTTTAAGGAGAAGTACGAAGAATATCTTATGTGCAGAAGTGAATAAGATTTAGGTTAAACTACAGCATCAAAGAGAAATATAATTTTTAAATTGTAACTCTTTTTGTATTTTATAAAACATTATGTATTGACCAAAATACTTTCACACACTTAAATGATTGAATATTTAAAAAAGAAAGCAAAAAATGAGTAAAAATTGTGAAACAGTTTTTGTAAAATTTCAGTAAAATCATAGAATCACTAATGTTTTTTTTTGCATTCACATAATTTTTGAAATAATACGAGGGAGAATAATCATTATATTTTTAATGCATTGTAAAATTTATATTTCTTATTATATGATTGTTAATTTATGTTTTCACACTTTTAATAATACAATAAAAAAGAGTCAATTTTTAATTAGTGCAAAGGGCCAAGGAGAGAAAGAATCACATTAATGCATCATAGAAATTAAAATCATATATTTTCGTTAATGTAAATTAATCTGGCGGAGAAGAATCATGATTTTTTTATATAAAATCACCAATGTTTTTGTCGTATATTTTTTGAATTCAGGGGGTGAGAAGAATTATATATTTGTAATAATTTAGTAAAGCTAGATTTTATGTGTGTGTGTGTGTGTATGTGTGTGTGTGAAATTTAAATGGTATATAACATAAAAAAATTAAGTTGTTTAAATATTTGATATTGTATATTAAAAAACAATTTAAATGGACATTAATGTAATGATTTTGTGCATGTTTGTACACTGTTGAATTTTAAATGAGAAGCTTGCTTCATGCACATATCTTAATATGGTTACACTAGAGGGATAAACTTCAATCGCTTGAGTCAATTGATCGTGTGACATGTGTAGAGGTTCATAATAAAGATAAATATCCTAGATTTTATGAGTT